TGACAAGGCAAAACACTGTCAAGTCAAAAGCAAAAACTAACACACAAAAACAAACCAGGCTCAGTGGTCCTCCTGGTGGAGGAATTTGTAATGGACATGGTTATTGCCCCTGAATTTCTGCTACTGGGTACTCCTTGATAGAGAGAGGGTTGTGTTGTCCTTCTCAGCTCCTGCAGGAGAAGCTGTCGGGGGTGGCCGAGCTCCACCTGCACGGTGATGGGCCTGTGGGAAGATGTGGGCAGCCCCGACAGCAGGTAAACCCACATCTCAGCTGTCCTCACGCCTGGGCGTGAGTGTGTGGCAGGGTGTGGTCGCTGAGATGCCTTTTGCTCACCTCCTCTGTAGGCGGGTTGGGACTGTGGGTCCTGGCTCTGGAGGTCACCAGTCTGCCTGATGGCCCTTTCTGGGCTAAACGGTGTTCACTTTACATGCTCCCGTGCAAGACAGAGACATCGGGCACCAGAGTCCGCACTAGGAGGAAAAACTGAGACACCCAGGTCTCCACCGGTCCAGTGGGGAGACTCCAATTCCAGAACCCTGTTCCCCTGAAAAATCTCACGTGGCTGGACTGTGTGGCTATCACCACACCCCAACCACAGCTTTTGATTGCCATCATTTCCCTCCACCTGGCTGGACGCTGGACTCGATTACCAACAGCTGGGGTTTGAGGTGCTTGACCACTACAGAGTCTTTCCAAGCCTGGAGTCACTTCCCACCCCAGCCCCTGGAGCATTTCCCAGGCCCTGTTATCTTAGTCTGTGTCACAGCAGTCAGGCCGTTGGGCCCAAGCTAAGTCACAGGGAGGCTGATTTCCGCTTTCCGGGAGAGAAGTGGCCACTGCACCCTGCAGATATGGAAAGGAGGGAAGCGTCTGTTCTCCCCCACAGCCTCATCAAAAGGAGTTTCTTAATCCACAGAGAAAGGCTGGAAATTGCCTCCCCTGCATGGTCACTTGGCAGAACGCGGGTCACTCTGCGCAGGTCACTCATCTGTCCAGTAGCAGAGTTTGCATTTTTAAAGAATATGCTGAGATTTTCTTTCTCCAGACCCAGAAGGGGGGCTCCCCTCTCCCTTAAGCTGCTCTGCACTTAGCACTGAAGAGAGATGCTTGCAGTCTCACTTACTCTAAACATCTGTTTCTGGGCTTCAGCAGGTCACTGTCTTACTTGTGCAGTGTTCTAGCAGTTTCTCTCAGGCCCGGTCCCCTGGGACTGTGATTTGGATGACTACCACAGAGCAGGTTGGGAGTTCTGCTTCCCTTCACCTGCCACAATGGATCTTATTTTTAATTTTGAGACGTTTCTCAAGTTGCACAGGCTACCCTTGAACTTGCCATCCTCCTGCCTCAGCCTCTGGAGCAGCTTGAATTACAGAACTGTGCCACTGTGCCCAGTCCAAACTCACTTTTGTAATATGTCTGCCCTCGTGACAATAAACTCAGTATCAGTCCAGGCACCAGGGCAGAGTCCTCGGACCCCATCACCTTTGAAAGGTCCACTCGGCCCTCAACAGTGTCACACTGCTTATTAATTTTAACATGTTTGATTGCAACATATAAACTTGGAAGGACACACTGAAATCAGTTACTTATTAAAACACTGTGCCCTGCTCCCAGATTTCCTATGCAATTGTCTTAAAGGGGAGGGTCCACTGGCCAACTGAGGTACACTGAGTCCAGGACTCAGTTCCGGGAAAAACTTGGCATCTCTAAGAAGTTTCCAGGTCTGCCCCACGTTTGCACCTCACAAACCCTGGGCCAGAGACTATCTCCGTGTGTTCTGAGGCTTCCCAGCTGATGGAAGGTTCTTTCCATCACACAGGTGACGTGCTGGGCTGCATTCTGAGCAGAAGAAAAATGAAAAAAGACCCAGGACCCCTGCAGTACCCCTCGTGAAAAGAATGAGCCCGTGTTTAGGGGTGTGCAGAGGGCAGGGTGAGTTAATCCTTCTTGAAGGCAATTATGAATTCAGTCAGCAAACAGCGCTCCACTTCCTCCAGGCTCTGCCCCTTACGCTGCACACTGTTCTCCACCCCCTCCTGCCTTCAGCCCCGATTGTGCCCCGAGAACCCCACACTTTGCTGCCTGCCACCTTGGCTAGTTCTTTATCCTCCTCACTGCACTTCCCTAAATCTTCTCCTCTCTCCCCTCAACCCCGAGAGCTCACTGGGCTCCAGCCCAAACCTTCCTTCCGAAGCAGGATCCTATGCAGCAAAATCCTCAGCTGGTTTTACTGTACCTCAAGGTTTTCTTAAGGTTCTCAAACACTCCTCCCCAGCCCGATACACCTCAAATGTCACTCCAGCGTCCCAGGCATCCAGGACCTATGTCCCCGTGGCTGACGCCCTGGGCACTCCGGCATCCATCACCAAACTCCTGTCTTCTCCACCGAAGTTTCATGTCTCCCGCTGGGCACCAGACACCTCTCCCTTTGTACCTCTGTCAGCAGTGCCAGCACGGGCCACACAGCCACATGCGGACAGGTAGGAGGTGGCAGAGACAGACCGACCAGGTGTCAGCCTGCCTTGCCCAACAGGCCAGCAGCTGAAGGCCACCACTGGGAAAGTTTCACGCTGTGAATCTGTGACCGAGTTCTGGATTTTATTGGGACGAATTCAATGCTTTTCAAGCCACAAGAGCCCAAAACAAACAGTTTAATACTATTTTGGGCCTGTGCTCAAAACAGGTTATCATGGACTTTCTCCTCTTTCCTCATCTTCCTCTTAACTGTGAGCAGGACCTTCCTGTCACTACCTCTCAGCTCGTCTTCATTTCCATTTCCTGGGTGAAGGCAGCACCCAGGAAGGGTCGGCAGCATCTGGTATCCTTACCTCCTCCCATTCATGGTAAAATCTACCTGACAATTGCTGCATATTTTAAAGTTCTGTTCCAATCATGTATCTGTCCCATACCCTTTGTCCCCCCTTGGCCTCTTTCCATTAAAAACCTAGCTAAACAAATAGGTTTCTGAGGAGAGCTCTTGAAGTTTCAACAAGGGTGGTGGTGGTTGTGGAGATGAAGGTTTGGGAGATGTTTAGGAATTGGAGTCAGCAGCACAGCCCAGCAGAATTCAGTGCACGGCAAATTTTGTATTTTCTAGCAAAGGCCTAGATTTAATGCATCAAACTGTACGTCTGAGTTTGCAAACTGGCAGCCTAGAGGTCAAACTTGTTTAATCTGCAATACTTAAAAAAATAGAAAAAGTTGCACTGTCAGAAAATAGTAAATGCACACAAAAATTAGAATTCCTGCCTTGAGAAATAGCAGGGACAAACCTAGATCACAATGGCCACGTGGCAGCCACCGGCTGAAAGGCTCGCTGCCGTGCTCAGACACAAGGCGTGCAAACTGTGGGCTGCAGGTTCACTGCTGACCACAAAAGGCTGCAGCTCGGAAGCGGATTTAAAAAGGGAGTTAACTGGTTATTTAATCCCGTTTCCCTGTATATAAAGCAGGCGAGTGCTCATTAAAATTGCTCAGCAGTACACGTTCATCCCCCTTCTCTTTCAGCTCCTCCACCAGACACCCCAGATGCATCCACTCCGCACCCCTAGAAGACTGATTCAGACCTTGGTTTAGCACTTTGTAATTTTTTGTTTTGAGACAGGGTCTCGCTAAGTCTCTAGGTTGCCCAGGCCACACCTCTGGGTTCAGGTTGGTTTGGCCAATCGTGGGACTCAGGTGGATTCTGGAGGACAGAGCACAAGGGACCCTCACCCCCGGGCTCTCACCGTGGCGGGACGTCACAGGCGCTGTGCTCCTGCCACTAAAGACAGCCTTCCCCAGGGCTCCAGACTGAAGGGGTCAGGTTCTCCCTTCACCTGACTTTAAGGGTACAAAAGGCCCCGCATGAGCACCCGCCAGCGTGGTAATTCTGGCTGTTTGTGGAATTATCTAATTTGTGCTTGTTTCTACTTCCTGAGGCAATCTGACAAACAAGTACGCCCGCAGTTTCTTCCTCTAGCTGAATGTTGGCCAAATGCATTGAGGAATAGCCCTGTAAGTCATTTCTTACAACCTGAGTATCACTATTTGAGAAGATTTTTATACCAATATAAGTTTGATTTTAAGTTATTAAGAATTTTAGAAACTTTACGTATTACCTTTAAGCTTGAATTACTGTCTACAACACTTAACCAGAAGATATATATGCAATGTTATAACCTAGAAGGTTAAAAGATATTTCTTCTAAAATTATGTATATTAATCCTAAATCCTAAAACCAACATGTCTCCACAGGACTGAACTTCCGCTGGTATCTGGCCTACCAGTGCCATCTGGTGGAAACACAATGCATCTACATCTTCTGAATCCTAAATCTACATTTTCTGTGGGGGTGATGGAAGACAAACATACTTTTTACTTAAAAAATAATTCGGAGCCTGGCATGGTAGTACACACCTGTAATCCCAGCACCACAGGAGGCCTGCAAATCTAAACTGCGCCAGGGCAATCTAGGGACTTATCAAGACCCTGTCTCAAACTAAAAATTATGGGGCCAGGATTTAGCTCAGTGGCCTAAGCACCTACCTGGCAAGCACAAGGTTTTGAGTGCAATCCCCAGCACCACAGGGAAAAAAAAAAAAGCTAAAAATTACAAAGTGCTAAAATAAAGTCTAAAACTTATAACAGAGATATACCTCTGGGTTTCTAAAATGTTCTTCCATTCGGTCCTGTTTGTATGAAAACCAGCATGTCTCCACAAGACTGAACATGACACATTTTTTTACCCACATCTAAGACATGGGTTTAGTAAAAGATATGCTGATTGCTTGACTCTGTAAATTACGTATTTAAATATATACACACATACTTTTTAGTAAACGGCAATTTTAGTTGTGAAACACGTAGAGTACACAGTTGCAGGATTGTACATTTTGTGAGGTTTTCACCATCTGCAGACAGCAACCAGAATCAGAAACACAAACAACGAGACACGAGTGTTAAGTTTTCTATCAATGAAAATTGCAGTAAGAATTCTAAATAATATGGAAACATAGAACATTGCTTAACTGATTTTAATAATGACATGAGCCCCTAGACTTGACATAATCATTTTGCAAAATACATAGATGAATACTGCCTTCTTTTAAAAATATAAAATAAATAAGCAAAGACATGTGAAAATAGGCAAGTTTCCATTAAATAAATGAAAATTTTAAAAAAAGAAACTTTTCCTTTCCATGTCATGTGAAGAAGAGAAATTATCATTTTAAACAATATTCAAGTTTATTAAACAAATTAAAAAAGGAGTTATAAAATGTTTAACTTTCATCAGCTTCAAGGTTTATGTTGCTGCCGAATTTCGCATATAACTGAACTTTCAAATCTGCTAGCACCCGCTGAATTGATGCTACTCTGGATTCTAAGGCGTCGATTTCTTCTTGTAAATTTTTCTGGAAAAAAAAAAAGTTTAAGTTAATTCTATTCAACTGTGTGATTTCGGAGCAACCGTGTTTGAATAAGTATTTGGGAAGAATTTTCTAAATTTAGGCAGCTAAGTAACAATGACCGTAAGATCTAAAATCAAAACACTGAATGTGAGCATTTTTAATTCAGATCTATATTTGTTTATCAGAGAATAAGACATGATTTTTTTCAGTTTCTGCTGACTTAAAAACCGTAAGCTAAAGAAAATTAATTCCTATATTATCTGTATATTATCATCCCCTAATAAAGAAGGAACCATATACAGAGACTTCTATAAATAGTTTTTCACGGGCTTGCATAGCTTCAATGTAGATTCTGATAACGTCCCACAAAAATATCTGCAGAAGAAATCATAAAACTTCAATTCCACCAATAATTGGTAATAACAACTGACGATCACAATCTGGCAGAAATTTTCCCTAACTTGAGGCCCCTGATGCTAAACTGTGGAAGACTGGAAAAAGTTGTCAGACTCAATCGCTTCACCCACAGGAAGGGCACTCTAGGTTCAAAGAAAGAATTTTTCTTAAACATAACAAAGGAAATCATGCACATGTCAAACCTGTTAGCATTAGGAACAAAAGAATACTTAGCACTGGCAAGGTGACTCTTAAAAATCTGGCCATCGGTCGGGCACGGTGACACAGACCTGAAATCCCAGCACAAAGCGGGCTGAAGCTCGAGGACTGCCTCTAGTTTAAGGCCAGCCTCAGCTACCTAACAAGACCCTGTCTCTGAAGAAAACAAGTCCGTTAATGAAAAATAAATCTGGCCACTACTTCTCAATGTATGGCCCGCACCCAGTGTCCAGGCAGAATCACCGAGGGCAGTGGTGACAAACCCGTAGCCGGTACACCACAGCAGGCTGGCTGTTGTCACCGAAAGCTCTAAAAGGTTTGTCATCACTGATCTGGAACTGTCAGAAATCAGAACTTCTTTGGGCTGGATCCAACAACCCGAACCTGTAGAAACCCCCGAGGGTGATTGTTATGGACTGTATCTAAATGTGGCCCGGTGAAAGCCTTGTGTGCTCACAGGCAGGGCTCTGGGGAAGTGGCTGGATCCTGGGCATGTGACGCTGGATTAAGAGTACACAGTAACTAAATTGGTAAACGGGTTCAGCATGGTTCTGGGTGTGGATAACGGAAGCCCCACGCTGCATCTGGATGGCACCAATCCATAGGGATGCAGCCTCGATGAAACAGAAAGGGAAGGGGGCAAGGTGGGCGGGTGCTGCCTCCCGCCTTCTCTTCTGGGGACTGTCACCTCTGCCGAGCTCTCTATGGTGCCACCCTGCCTTGGAGTCAGCCAATAACGAACTGAAACCTCTATGAACTATGAGCTGAAAGAAACCTTTCCTCCTTTAACTTGTGGGTATTGGGTATTTTGTCTCAGCAATCAGAAAAGTAACTACCACACTATTCCTGATTCTGACGCATGCTACGAATCTGAGAACCACCATTACAAGACAAAAGCAGAAATAAGACATAACAGATAAAACTCCTGCATCTGGAAAACCCAATGTAGTAACTCTTCAATTTACAAGCATTCAAGTGCAAACTTTCACAGATATGAACACACCTCGCTTTGAGAACATTCGCAGATGTGAACAAGTTGCAGACACCGTTAACGTGTCCGGACACTCACTTTACGGTTGTGCCTACCGTACAGCGTGACAGTGGACAGAAGGAGAACCGTGCTCACTCTGAGCCCAGGAGTCCGGGAGCAAGAGGAAGAGAGGGGGTGACATGAAGGTGATTGTAAGGGAGCCCAGCACAGTACACAGGGGATATCTGCTCAAAGCTGTGCCAGACTTACAAATAAATCCAACTTACGGACATTCTCCTGGAACGGAACTTGTCTATAAATCAGGAACTTACTACATGTAAAACAAGACACTAGAAAATTACTCTAAAATTACAAGTCCCACCTTATCACTCAATCCTCAATCCAGGAGTGTGCAAATGCCAGCCCACAAGCCAAATCCAGCCTGAAATTCCTGATTATAGGGTTTCACAGGCATGCAAATTCATTTACACGTGTCACTTTCAAAGTAACTGTAACAGAGACTGCATGGCCCACAAAGCCTAACATCTGCACTTTCCAGCCTTTCACCTGCAGTTTGCCGACCCCTAAGCCAAGATAAAGCACAATTTATCCAAACTCAACTGACACAGCTGCCCAGGATCCAGCCACAGTTTCAGATGTTCCCAAACTATTCCAGCAAACAAACCTCTCTGGGTTCTGTTCATCCACTATAATCACTTTATAACCATTCACGCTCTCTTTGTTCTGAGTGGACCACTACGGGTTCTTCGTGACCACAGCCCTCGGCAGACTGGCGCTCATGTTCTTTGGCTGTTCTACAATGGCTTTCCCAGGGAAGCCTCTCCACCCCAAGCTGCCCAGCCCACAGCAGTAGACTCCCGGCTTTCCTGAAGCCAGCTTCACCTCCGTACCACTTCCTACTCATCAACAGTTTCTCCAGTTTGATTTTCTCTTTGCATCTAGACTGCATGCTCCACGTGCAAAGGAACCAGGCATTCTCTGCTGTCCCCTACAGTCCTAGTACAAGGCAGAGCCTGACACAGGTAAGAACTCAACAAATACTTCTGGAATGAATGAATGAATGACAAAATTAAGGTCAGTATTTACATATATACTGTTATGGTTTGTGTCTAGATGTCCCCTCTACGTCTCATGCATTCATAGGGTTTTCTTTTGGAGGTGACTGAGTCTAGAGGATGTGACTGATCCGTGGTGCAATGCTGGGAATCAAGGTGGCTGGAACTCAGGATGGGTGACTGCTGGATCGATGCACCGACTGGATTTACACCACCCTAATCCCAGCAGACTGGGTGCAATACAAAGGACAGAAAGAGACCTGTCTCGCTCGCTTGTTGCTTCTGCTGTCTTCCACCACCATGAACTGCTGCCCCTCTGGCACCCCATGTGCCACTCTGCCTTGAAGGCAGCCGATTATGAATGGAAACCTCCACAAACTATAAGCTAATAAACCCTTTGCCATTTAACTTTGGGTGTCAGGTATTTGAATGGTGGGTGGGCAGGCATTCACAAAAGCAGGAGAATCATAACCTGTATGAAAAATACTTCTAATAGGAACAGAGCATTTCAACCTAGTTAAAAAAATTAAATTAAAAAATCTAAGAAAAAAACCCACCTAAACATACAAGAGACACAAAATGTTTCTGCACAGAAAGTTCCTAGAAGAAAAGGGTTAGTTCTTCCCAATGTTTATTAGGAGTGGAGTAATTCATGGAAAGTATCAGGAAATGTTTAAAGGCCATGAACTTGTCATACACAGTGCTGGATGGTCTCTCTTCAACAGTGAATTAGAGTAATTTCCCATTCTACTCTATCACTTGTCTCCAATATTGTCTAAGAATTGAATCGTCTGACCAGTAATCACACTTCAATGATTATTTCATCAAAACAATTTTCTAAACACAAGCAAAGACACACAAGAAAACTGTGACATTACTGTAACAAAATATTGGGAACAAATTAATGTAATAAGACATAGCCAAACCAATACCCATCAACAGGGTATTAAAGGTGACATTAAACAAATATAGAAAAATGATGCTGTTAAAGCCTCTGTACTTGACCCAGAGAAGACACCCAACGAGTATCAACTAAATAAACATTAAATGGAGTAGAAAATGTGCCAACCAGAATGCTAACCGACCAAAGCGGGAAGCAAAACTCCCCAGAGAAACAGACAGCAAACTGACAGAAATACAAGAAAATATCCACTATGTGTGGTTATCTCCAGGCAGTGGGGTTGGGGAGAATTTTCTTTTCTACTTTATAATATGCTGTGTTTTCTAAACCCTTTTAGAGCAAAGTCCTAGAATCAGAAAACCACTCACTGCCTATGGATCCCCTGGAATTACTCTTTAAGCCTCTATTCCTTTCTAAATTGGGATAATAACAGATCGTGATTAAGATTAAATAAAATCACACTGGGAAAGCACACACAGTTCACCTGGTCATGACACCAAAGTGCTAGCTAGCGTCCATTACTCCCCCACCCACTACGGGTTCTTCGTGATGACAGAAACCCTAATGTAAGAATTAGATTCCCGCGTACCTTTGCTTCTTCTAACATTTCCTGTGTTTCTTCTTGCGAATGGCTAATGAAAACATCACCGATTTGGTAAGGTATCATTAAGCAGTCGTCATCTGCGAGCATGATGTCGTCACAAGCATCTTCTAAATTCTGGAGTTGTTTCTACAACACAAAAGCCAACAGCGAAAGCATTCAAAATTCCCTGCCGGAAGGGCCGATTTTAATTTTGGGAAACTCACTCCTGGGAGACCCTGTCGTATCACTGTCTCACACTCAGGTGACGCTGCATATGGGATCGTTTCGTGCCTGTACACGGTTCTCTGGAGCACTGAAGCCCCCTACTGTGGGCTACAGTTACTTGTGGTCAAAATTTCCCATTCTGTGAATTCTTCCTTCCCACAGAAACGAAACTCAAAAATCAGAAAACCACCTATTTTCTCAGCCATGCTTGCTCAAGTGTAAACAACTTTTATTTCACCAACTGAGTACACTTCGACTGGACTTCAACTCAGCAGAACTGAGGTGCACAGGCCGGCCTGGGGCTCACCGCTCCACGGCGGCAGCAGCCTCGGCTCAGAAGTAGGGCCAGCTCCCGCACCAAGGAGGCAGCCAGCTCCGCTCAGAGGGACAGGAGCTGTCCCGCCTGGCCAAGTCCTCTCAGCTGTGCTTCTCCAGCCTCCTCCTGGACTTAAGTCCCACCCCGATTCTGTTCGCCATCTCTACAACCAGGGAAAAATGGTTTCCTGTTTCAAGTAGGGCAGATGGGGCCATCGGCAGCGGAGGCCCGGAGATGGAGAACCACTTGGCAACAGAACCCAGTTTCAAAGAGGCAGGGTATAGACAGCTTCTTTTTCTGAAACATGACAAACACGGCCAGTACCTTTTTTACTTCTATTTCTTCCTTTAGCTCTGTGATTCTACTCGTATTCCGTGCAAATTTGTTTATCTTTTGTTGATCTTCGAAAGTCACATTGACGTCTTCTGCAGCCTAAAAAAAGTTTTAATATTTGTAAAATGTTTAATGCAGAAGCTATAAGTTAGCTTTTCATACTATTATAAAATAACCCAAATTACTTGCCTATACACAGTCAGGAATCTCAGGAGTCACAGAGTATCATAGGCAAGCCCCTTGCTCATTTTTTTCCCCAGAGGCTTAATATCTGCTCCTATGGCCTATAGAATAACTTTTAAACTACAATAAAAATTTCAAGTATCAACAACCCATGATAAAAACCCATCCTAAAAAGACGGAAGTTAACCAGCTTTTGGCTGACAGCACAATGTTCCAAGTGGGAATACTGTTTCAATAAGATAACTCAGGAAGCAAAAAGTTATTGGTCCATTAATGTTTGCAAATACTTCACACTAGATTTTTTCTCCCCAGAGACTTGTGATGTGTATGAGCTTCTGTAGGGACCAGAATCTGAGTTCCTGCAGCGTTTAGCCTGGCTGATACACTGGCCACAGGGTCACTAAACCTTCCAATCATAGTACAAGGAGCTCTTCAGACCCTGTTTCCTTTAAAAGGTACAGTTCAATACCAAATGACAAAAATTGCAGACTTAGTGTCAAAAAATACTTATTACAGCCATATCTGCAATCTGGATATAAAGAGAGCTTAGCTGAAATAAAATATCCATGCAATCCTAAAAATAACAGCTGACATTGCGTGAGCTCTTACTGTGTGCCAGGGCCTTTGTGTGTCATCTTTGCTAATAATGCTCCCAGTCTCAGTAAGGCAGACCACCACCACCACTATTTTACAGACAGAAAAACCGGTGCACGGAGCTTAAATAATTGGCCCAAAGCCACAAAGAGTTTCTATATATTAAAGAAGAAATTAAATCCCTGACTCTCCTTAGGCTTTCCCTTATTTATAAAATAGGAACAAGTGTACTTATTAAAGATGTGCACATAAACAGTGCTTACTGAAGGTTCATTGTATCAACATTAATCTAATTTATCATATTACATGTAATAAATGCAGCTTCAATACAGACTCGTGGTTCTTTTAAAGAGTTCACAGTACCCATCATCCATTCTCTACCTGGTCACTTGTGACCAAGGACATAAAAGATAGTGCACTTTGATTTCTCAGAGGCTGCACAGGGCTCAGTTGTCAGAAAATAAAGGCAGACCCCAGAAGTCAGTCCTGTTCTGTCGGACTCCCAGCCCCATGAACCATTTCACCTGCATCACGCCCGTTACTGGACCCAAAGCATAGCCTAAAATCTCCTTCACATCATGATGGGCGTACCTCGGAGGTTCGGCCCTGCATAGTTTTATGAATATGGACTCGGGGAACACAGAGCTCCACTAAAGAGTGGGTGTCCTGGCACACTCGTCATCTCACCTATGTGAGAACTGCCAATTTCTTAAGCACACAGAGAACAAAAAATTCTAAAGAACTCCTGCTTGCCAGAGGAGTTTATGGCATTTTACTTAAATACTGAACCTCCAAGCGCCTTAACTGTATATTTATGGATTCATCTGTTATTGTGTATTGATGGATGCATTTGTCACTATGAGGGTTTTAGGGTCGCTCACATAAGAACACCTACCCCTGAGCTTCCCTGACACACACCCGAGATAAAGATTCCTGAACTGGAATCTAAATCTTGCTGGTCCAGGATTCAGTTCTGCACTGCAAAGTGCTGGAGAGGATTTAGGTACCTGCTCCCCGCCTTCCCAAAGCAGATGCTTCCCTTTGCGGGCCCCAGCGCACTGCAGCCACCAGCAGGTACGGGGCTCCTGGGGCCCAATTCCTCACGACTGTCTCCACTGGGATTAAGGGTACCGTACAGGGCGGGTGAGTAAAATGTGCACCTCAGCAACTGCACGGCCTGGGTACGACGCACCACCTCCGATGGCCAACAGCAGAGGCTTCCGTTCCACTCTCCTGCTCTACACCCCTTCTCTAACGACCCCGCGGGATCAAAGCACTGCAAGGTCCATTATGCCCTGATGAAGGCAAAGATGCTTTACGAGTCCTTGAGGTGAGGCCAGGTGTCACCACTACCAGAGTTTATAGCGCTCCAGGCAGCAGAAAATAAGAATGGACTCCAATCCACGCACACAGGAACTTTACAGAATCACTGCGATCTCTGAGACTCCTCAGATTGCTCACCTCTAAGGCAAAGGAGCTGGTTTGCCTTGCAAGGGCCATACAATACGTAGAGCACAGTGCCCGGGGGTGTAATCACCTCTGCAGTAGAGGATGAGCCCTCTATCTCCTGACTACTGTTTATCAGAAATCACTGCCAAGGCAGAATAAATGCAGCCCTCCACGGAAATTCTGCTGGGCCCACGAGAAATAGGACTGCTCAAGAGACAAGAGAAGGGCTGGGGCTGCACCCGGGGCAGAGCGCTTGCCTAGCACGTGCAAGGGCCTCACCTCAATCCCCAGCACCGCAAGAAAAAAAAGGTCAAGAGAAAACACAGATTCCTGGACTGCCTGCACCCTCTTCCTGACAGGGTAAGGGAGTGAGGCAGCTCCAGGTGCACCCCACGCTGAGCCTGGGTCCTGACAGCTGGGTCCCCAGAAGGACGCTGAGGTGATTTCGCTCTGCTTTCATGTGTCGGTGGTACTGACCAAGGCATACACTCCGTCACCCACCGGCTCCCATCTTCCCTGACTGCAGATTCTGTTTCTGCCCTCATCTCAATACTTTTCCTTCACAGCTCTCATCAGACTTGGAACTGTCAGTGCCTAACGTGAGTAATGCCGTATTTTCCCCAATGCCCGTAACGGGTATTTAGCAGTGTTTGCAGCTGCCGGCACACGGATAAGAAAGCCAGAAGCCTGTCCTCACCAACACTGGCCAGCGTACAATCTTGGTGGAAGAGGAGGCAAACACCAAGCCGAACAAGACAATGTTTGACGACGATAAATGTGCTACTGATGGGAAGAGAGTTTGGGGCCACGGATGTTAGAGAGGTGAAGTGCAGAGTTTCTTAGCCAGAGGTTGAAGATGATCTCTCTGGAAAATCGACACTACTAAAGCTGAGGACACTGAACTAGAACGAGGGCCCGGGCTAAAGCCAAGAGGCCTGAATCACCTTCCCTAAACATCTCACTAGCTGTTGGGACCCACTGCAGGGTAACAGGTGTAACACCTCTGAAGCGCGCTGGCCTGCAAGGGCTACACCCTGTACATCTGCTTGTTTTCTCCTTGAAATGGCCAAGGGGGACAGCATGCATGAGGCTGACCTATGAGAAACAGCTCTGAAACAGGAAACAGCCCCAGGAGGGCTGCGCATCTATCTGCTCCACAGGCTGGAAGGTGCCTAAGGTCACGACCACCCGCCCGCCATGTGCCCGCCACCACCTACCCCACTATGCGCTCTCATGGCGCGTCTTCCTTTGATTCTCCGCTGGCTGGCCTTCGGTACTAAACCTTCTTCGGGTGTCTACACAAGGTACGGCCTCTACCGAATGCCTTCCTCCCTGCCCAGCGCCCCTTTCCCCTCCAGATGCAACCTCAGTTCAGTCCCATCTCACAAGTTTCCTTCACATTCAAAGCGGAAATTTCAGCTGCTTCTCTGACTATCTGAGTAACCCCTTACTCTCCCCAAAAGCTAAGCTCTACTATGCTGCGAGAGTACAGGGAGAATAAAGCACATCAGTACCCGGGCTGGGGACTTAGCAGGGGCTCAAGTGCCTGCCTGGCAAGCGCAGGGTCATGAGTTCAATCCCCAGTACCACACATAAAAGATTAAAAAGAACTTCATTACCATTGTTATCTCTACCACTGAAAATGAGGCTGTGCCATATCACATGCTCAAAAGAAAATTATTGAATAAATCATGAAAAAGGTTAAGCAAAATTTTTCCGAAATCCAAGTCATTCTGCCATCTCCTCTGTTTATGTCACCTATTTGCACCTCAGTCCATGTTTTCAAGAGCTGTCTATAACCAATGTCTTCTAGGACAGCCATGCTGAACATTTTAGAGCACTCAAGGATACACACATGTGCCATGGGTTTGCTGTCACTGTTCTAGGGTATTAAAGGCCTCACCTGACAACGGAGGCCCCAATTTAACAAAATACTAGAGGCAAAATGGCTTTCACTAACTTTGACACTTTCCTGAAATACCGTGATCCCATCTCGCAACTTACTCTATTACTTTAAGGGGTTTGTGGGTGCTAAGACCTTGAGATGACGCCTGGTGTTTTCTGTTTTACCATTCCATCAGTCTCAGGCCATGGACTTGTGGGTCCGCAGGCAAGAGGGACAGGTATGTTGGACTGGACAGCAGGAGAGCACGTTAGCACATCTTGTGACATGATTTTTGTTGTTTTGGTTTTTTCAGTTTTTTGAGACAAGAGTCTCGCTATGCAGTTCAGGCTGACCTTAAATGCACTTTGTAGCCCAGGCTGGTCTCAAACTCAAGCCTCCTGAGTGCTGGGACTACAGGTGTGCACCACATGTCTGATGAATACAAATGTGGTTTTTAAAGTGGAATGAAAGCTAACATGCAAAAAAGAAAAAAAAAAAAAAAAAAAAAAAAAGAAGGTATCCCTTCAGCCAGGGATTCTCATCAGAGGCCCCCAGTTTAAAAAATAAAAACACTGGAATAAGAATGGCTGTTTAAGTCGTAGATTTGCCTCTGTTTCTTAACTTTTCCTATCTGCTAAATAAGAATAGTATATCCAAACAGGAAATCAAAATAACACATGCAACGCACTACATTGGAGCTCTGTCCAGCACTCGGTAAATTCAATAATTATCTGCTTCCCCCAATTTTGTTTTTCTCCTACCCTGAGATCTTTTAAGCTTGTAGTAAGTCTCCCTGATTGTAAACCTCCAATGGTAGTTTTACTTGCTAAACAAGTGTGATGAAGTATTACAGTGCACCTTACAAGTACGTATGATTATCATGTGTCACCTAAAATACATATATTAAAAAGATGTGGTCTGAGTTTGCCCCCCAGCCGGGGTACACATCAGCTGAGTCACTACTGCAGGAATGCTGTGTCCAGGTTTCTCCACCTGGGAAGTGGGGGGACCTCCCTTGCAAAGGGGCCAGGGGGTCACTGGGGAGCCTGGGCCGCCAGACACACAGCTTTCGGCACAGACGCCAGCGCCGGAGGGGAGAACGCAGGAGCGACGAGGACCCGCCCCGGTGATCGGGCACCTGGGCGCCCGGGATGCGCACACGGGAGCCGGGGGATGCGGGGCCCCGAGGGCGCGGCTGCACCTCGGCCGGCCTCCGCCCCGGCGGGCAACGATGCGGGCGGGAGCGCCTTCCCACAGGCCGCGAGGGTCACTGCGGGAGCCCCGGGGGACACCTCGAGTCCGAGCTGGTCGAAGCGACAGACCGATCGGCGTCCCGGAACCCGAGGACCAGGCGGGCGCCGCCCCGAACCCCCCAGGGTACGGTCCGAGCGCCCAGCCCCGCCGGAGGCCCAGGAGACGCCGCGGAGCTGCCCGCAGGGTCCGGGGCCCTGGGTGCCCCCCAACGCGGGTCTGGGCTGCGCGCCCCCGCCCCGGGCCCCCACAGCCCGACCCCGGCCGCCACCCGCACCCCGCGCCCCTCGCCCCGCGCCCCAGCGCCGCGCTCACCGCCTTCTTCATGGTGGCCGCCATCTTGGGACTGGCCGACGGGGCGACGCGGGGGGAGCCGCGAGAGTGCGCGTCTGCTCCGCGCCGCCTCCCCCTCCCCAGAGGCCCGGCGCTGCCCCCCAGAACAACACTATCTCCACATTGCTTCCTACTGGGGCGCTGTTCGACGATCCGAACGGTTGGGGCTCGGGAAGGAAACGTAGCCTGGAAGGACTTGGTACGTGCCAATTAAAGGGACAGGCCACTCCCTGTGGGCCGACATAAACTGGGGGGTGTGGCGAGCGGCTGCAAGCGCCGTCCGCGAGCGGCAGGGGGCGCACCGTATGGGGAGGAGGTGATTTTCACTGGCCCATTAAGATAGTGTTAAGGTAGTAGGGTAATTCAGATGGTATAAAGAAGAGGCACTCCAATATATTCATGGAACAGTTGCTATGTACTCGGTTGTTAATGGCATCTAGTTACTGTCTCAATTCAGCCCTGCTGCCCCTGAAATTCCTCTGCCCAAAATACAAACTTTTAACACTTCTCAAGTGCTGCCCCTGGCCAATGTGGTGTCTGCTCACTATTGTGGCTACTGCTACTGCTGCCCGCCAGCCTTTTCTTTTCTTTCTGTCTTTTTCTCTTTCTTTCTTTCTTTCTTTCTTTCTCTTGCTTGCTTGCTTTTGAAAGGGCAATCGTCCCAATCTAGGCCAGAATCTGTGACTCTCCTGCTTCAGCTTCCCAGAGGGCTGGGATTGCAGGCGAGCACCAGCTTGTCCAGTTCACCTTTTCCATCAGTCTGCCTCCCACTTCAGACAGGTAGACACTGGAAAGCACCTTGAGGAGAACGGTGACAACAGTCAGAAGCAGTGCTACCCTGGGCCTTTCCGCGTGTGGCTGGGGGCAAAGACTTTGCTTCGTGATGGAGCCATCCCGGGGCCAGCAGGGGTGCAGGCAGGTCGGGGAAGACAGGAGACCCTGCAGCTGACCTCGGCTTGGCACTGGTGGCTCCATCATGGGGTCTGCCTGTCCTCTCGGAAGCCACATCAAGCAGGATTCCGGAGAATCCAGCTGGGGCAGGCTGTCAGCTCAGACCTCCCATTAACACCGGACATGACCAGCTGGACATGACCTACCACACTTTGCCAGGCGTGTGGGGAGCATGTGGGAGTCCCATAGCCTCCCTCGCCTCCTGAGGACAGAGAAATCCCAGGTGGAGATGCAAGGTGTAGGATGAGGAGCAGCTCGCTTGGGTCCACACACCTGAAACTAGCTAAGGCCGGGTGCAGCTGTCCACGGTGACCGGCACTGGACTATAACAGGTGACCAAAGGCAGGTGAGACCGACGGTGGGTGAAACCTAAAGGACTCCATAGAACATAGATACAGGCCCACGAAAATAGCCTCGGAAATTAAAATTACAGCACACTAAGGGGATTGCAATAGTAGATTTTTAAAAGACCCTTAGAATTAAGAGAGTCCAAGTGCTGATCCACGTGCCCCTGGGCAGCACTGGGGGCCTACACACCCAATCCCGCTTGTCACCAAGCATCCTCGGCCTCCGCGGCCCTTCTTAACTGTACTGTGTGCCAGGAAATTGCACCTGGCTACCCTCAAGGACAGAAGAGCTGAGAGTAGCCTGTGCAACAAGAGAGGTGGCTGCCTCGTGTCCATGTGACCCGGCCTGGAAATGGCCAGGCTGTCAGGAGGACACTCCCAGAGTCTTTGGCCTTCTCCACCACTGTCTGGCTATTCTCCAAGTGCAGGGAGAAAAGCGGACGGAACCCACCTCTTGCTCATGATCACTTGCTGGCTCTCGATCTCGTTCTCTGTTTCCTCCCTCCTTGTCCTCTTTCTCCCTCTCAAGGCGGGAAGCACAGCCCGGAGCGCTGCCAACCCCAGCATCACCACGTCTGTCTTCTGCCCTCCTGTCACTGCCCAAAGCCACGGGCTGGTTAAACTCACGCTTAAGTTACGATGCACTCCTGCTGTGAATGTGGCTGCCGAAACACAGCTCAGCTTCTGGAAACGAAAGAGGAAGAAAGAAAGAAGCATCAGCTGCGGGGTCATCACGAGGGACGCCTTGGGTGTGCAGGTCTGGACCACCAGGCTAGGCTCCTGCAGTCTGTGCACACAGGTGGCGCTGCTCAACCTGGACGGAGTCGTGGGAGCTGAGCAGCAGCCACTGGGGTGACCTGGCGCCCCCTGGAGAGCCACTTCCTATACATCCAACTTCCTCCTGTTTCCCTCTGCAAGCTTCCCTCCTCCCCCTTTCTCCAGTTCTTGAAATCTTTGGAGCTAAGACCAAGCGGTGAAACCAGTTCCGCAAGTGCCCATGGCCAGGGAACTTGCAGGCCTTCTGCTCAGGTCCTTTCATTTCCTACCCTTGCTTCTGGTTCTTTTCCAGCTGGGACCGGTCCCTATGTGATTGGATGGGTACAAGGGAGAAGCCCGGGGTACAGGCAGAAGCTTTAGAGATCACAGGACAGGGAGGAAAATCTCCAGAGATCACCTGAAAATATTTGAGCTGGGATGAATGAACTCACCCGCTTCCACCATGCTGAAAACTGGTCACCGACTGACCAGATATACCCTCTACGACCCTGGCAGTATTTTTCTTTAATTGACTCAATATTGGAAAATTGAACGATTTCACTCAACAATACCAGATTTTTAGTTTTGCTTGAGCTTATAAAAACCAGAGGCCCAGTGTCAGGGCACCTGAATTCCTGCATGATAGGACTGAGCTCACCAGGTGTGGCCCAAGTACCTGGCCTGGCCTCTCCAGGGGCAGTGGATCACAGCTCCCTAAGCACGTGCCTCATTCCTGCACTAACCTGTCGGAACCTCCGTGTTCATGGACTCGCAAGCTTCTATTCTAGGGAAGGGAATTGCGTGACTTTGTTTATCCTATGCTGCTGAATACAACTGCAAGTTAAAGGGTCACTCCAGGTACTTGGCATCATGGGGTTGACAAGCATCATGTCGCACAAATCACAGCTCCTGGAGCTGCAGTCTGGGGCCAGTCTTAGAAGAGAGAGCTCAAATCTGGCTGGGATGATCCACAAGGACTCTGAAATTATGGTATGCTGACTGGAACAAGCATAATGGCCAGCACTGGGGATGTGACATGAAAAAAAAAAAAATCAGACACAATTTCCTGTCCTCACGAAGCTTAGAGTCTACTGGTTGGAGCTGGACCATAACAAAAATAGTTAACTAAATTATATGACATGTCAGAGTGTTCACCGCCACCGTGGATGTGCCCCATCTCATCTGATCCCAGAAGCTAAGCAGGTTTGGCTCTGTTAGTGCTTGGATGACAGAAAGTATTATTGTGGTATAAATACTACAGATTGCTCCCTCAAGGGCAAATGATATAATAAAGACTATGTATCTATAAGAATGAGAACACCATGATGAAGACTGGAGAGGAAACGGAAAGTATATTGACTGGAAGTTGAAAGGGGGAAAAAATAAAAACCCTTCTTGAATCAACATGTAAAAAATACAGTGAGTGCTGAACTTTTTAAAATCTTAATACACATTATTGAGAATAATAGCGTTTGTGTGCTCAAAGCAAGGGAGAATTCTGAGTATTTGGAAGGGAATTAATAGTAATGTATTTTAACTGCAATGAGTTTTCTTAAGATGTAAACAATGACCATATCTTTTGATTACCCAGCTTGGGTCAGAATCTGTCACAAAGTGATAACACTTCCTAGCAGCATGTGTGGGTGCCCCCCCCCCCCAAATCTGCAACTTCTGTTCCAGTCCCCTGGCCCTAAACCCAGCAGAGGAAAGGATGGTGAGTGAACCCTTCCACGATGGCCCCCGAGGGAAGGGCTGCAAGGGGCAATCTCCACTGCCAGATTGTCTTGGTGGCTTTTCTCTCATTGCTGGGACAAAATACCTGACACCCAAATTAAAGGAGGAAAGGTTTGTTTAGCTCACAGTTTGTGGAGGTTTCAGTCCATCATCAGTTGGCTCCAAGGCGGGGTGGCGTGGTGAGGAGAAACAGCTCAAGGCAACAGAAGGGTGGCGTGGTGAGGAGAAACAGCTCAAGGCAACAGAAGACAGCAAACCAACCACACAGCAAGAAGGGGAGAGCAATCCCCTTTTCCTCCTTGGGTTGTGAGCGGCTTCCTGCCCCAGAGGGGGCGTAGCACTCACACCATCTCTGAGCCCTCCTCTTGCACAGGCTCAGGATGTTTACAAAGTGAGCCCCTGGGCCCCTGCTGAGCCACTTAGTTAAACTTCTTAACTTCTCAAATTGACACAGTGAATCAACCATCACTACATCCTGGAGCTTGAACAGCTGCTCTCGGGCGTGTCCTCCACATCCTGGGAGGTAGAACTGCTGGTCACTTAGTTAGGCTTCTGAACTTCTCCAGTTGATACAAGTTCGCGTACACATGTGCATACACATACATGTACACATACACACCGTGATTTGGTCCTTAGCCTGCCAGGAGCACTCAAGGACCATGACAGTGATGCTCAGATTTGAGACACTCGACTTTCCCATCATAGTTTGTGTTGTTATTTTGAATCTCATTATACTGAGAAATATAAAGCTGTGTGCATTTGTATTCAGCTCAATGCATTTGTGATTTTATCGTAGCGGTGTTTGAAAGTCTTCCTTGTCTCCCATGGTACTTAGAGTATAACTTAAATTCTTTCCCGGGTCCAGCCTCCGTCTGTGGCCTAGTCTCGCACCCTTTCCCTTCGCTTCCCGTATCCCCATCCTGGGCCTCCGTCCCATGAATACCACACACTCCCTCCTGCACCATGGCCAGTGCATCTGCTCCCACATAGCCTGTGAGGTCCTCTCTCGTGTTATTCACCAGACTAAATCCTGCTCAGCCTCGAGCTGCACCCATGTAGGCTGTGGTCTGAACGCATCCTCCAACATCCATGCAGTGCAACAACTCTCAGTGTGATGGCATCAAGGGGCGGGGCCCCTGGGAGATGATCAGGTGTGAAGGCAAAGCCCTCCCGGACAGGATTCTGCACGGACTAGGGTGTTCTTTCTCCCCCTGCCACTGAGGACGCGGTGGTCCTTCCCTTGGGAAGATGCAGCTGCAGAGGGCCACCTTGGAAGGAAAAGCAGCATCTCACTCTCTCCCGACGCTCACAACCACACCTTGATCTTGGCCCTCTCAGCTTCTAGAACTGTGAAAAGTAAATACGTATTGCTTAGGAATTAACCAGTGTAGA